CCCAACCAACCACCCCCACCCCCATTCTCCTTGCTCTATCCACCCCCTTTACTCCTCAAATATTGCCCGGGGGCGCTGGGGCGCCGCGGACCGTCCGGGAGTAATGCTGAGCACACCCGCGCAGCCCCGCCGAGTATCGCGAGCTCATCCTGAGCTCATCCGGCGAGCCGGGCGCGTCACTCCGGGGCAGAAAACCTTTCGGGGTCTTAGAGTTTTAGTCCCATCATGGACCAATAGCCAACGGCTACACATTTGCGAGGTGAAAATGTGTCTTTTCAACAATGACAATAAAAACTACTGTAACAACAACTACTCAATCAGAAATTCAACTTCAACAACAACAGCATGAACAACAACAACAACACAGTAAGAAACACAACAACTACAACAGCTAAGGATCCTGCTTAGCCCAGAGCTCGTTTACCTGTCAACGTTGGCCAATCAGCATTTAGGCCCAGGTGGAAATACAGCTTAGTATTCTCGGCTTGTCAACGTTTTCCCGAGCTGTAAAATAGGAGTAGTTTTTATCATGCTGCAGTCAGAGGTAGAGATCAGAGGTGGTGATTTAGAAAATGCATTTTTCTCCTCCGTATCCATGACGTCGTTTCGCGCGCGCTCCACGCCTGTGCGCCCATATCAGCGCATACATTTCTGCATAAATGTTTGCTTTTGCGCCCGGCTGCATACTCCGCGATCTGCAGCAGCGGCAGAGCCCCGCGCGTCCGTCTCGCGGTGGGCCGGCGGGGTGCGACTAGCAGCCGCGTGTCCCAGATGGGGCTTCAAGGCTGAGGTGTTAAACTTTACGACGACGCGCGTCGGTTTTTCGGCCGCCGCTGCTCCGCTCATTGGGCGATGGTATCTGGTGCGTGAGCTATCTGATGCTCGGCCCGCCCCGTCGGCCGCTCCAAACCGGAACTACAAATTTATGTCGCACGCGGCCCGCGCCCTAATGCCCTGCCCGCTCCGATTTCTTTCCCGCGAGCGATCGGCGCGATACAGACAATTGGGCCGGAGAGGAGCGAGAGAGAGAGAGCGAGGCCGACGCGGTGGCCGCCCCGCGCACGCCTCGGGTGCCTGGCGCCTGGCTGGCTAACGATGCCTGAAACCTTCGGTCAGGTTCTCTCAGGTGAAGCCGAGCGAGAATCTAGGCTCGCGATATTTTCTTCAATGTAATTGGTGCGCGCTAGTAAGTCAGACGAGTTAGGTCCTTAACTACAAATCTGAGGTTTTCGCCAATATTTAATGTCGTCGTCGTGCGCCAAACTGGAACAACAACACCACGTTATATGTTATGGTGATGAATTTTCCGTGTTTTAATTACACATGCTAACAACAAACTTGAAAGACTTGAAAGCTATTTTTGTAACAGTTGGCGTGGCACCAGGGCAATTCGTGCACCTAAGCAATGAAATGAGCGAATGAAAGAAACCATTTTCCATTCTGGGTATACAGCGCTAAATATTTTGCACGAGTGCAAAATTTGCCTACCCAAGTCGATTAGCAAGGTTCTTTTATTTTGCCCGTGCACTATGGCTGAGAAGAAAACGCAAGAGAGAAGGGCAGACAAGAAACGGGAAGGGGGGGGGGGGCTACAGCATAATATGATGCATTATACGCGGACCACGACGCCTATCCTTCCCCGTCCCTTTCTGCCTCTCCTGCTCAAGAGTCTCCACGGCAGGGAGTTGGGCGTGGCGGGGCGGAGCTGTTGTCGTCGTGGCCACCCTGCCCGGGCGCGGCGGGGGCCGTGAGGGGCGGACACGACTAGGGCCCAACAAGTGTCGCTCAAGAGAGCCTTGTGCCTCTGAGCAGCAGCCGTGTCGCCAAACACTTCCCTCGGCACACAGGCTGGGCACTTTTATTTGTTGTCTGCAGTTGCGGGAGATTCTTCTAACTCAACTCTTTAACTCCGCTGCGCCATGAGATATTTCAGAAAGAACAAACCGCTTGTAAAAAAGGATGAAAGTGAACCGACTTGTGCTGTATCTGCTCCGCCCGTAGGTCTCGATCCGATATTAACAGCAGTCGGTACCAAGTCGTCCTTTAATCAAAGTGGTGCGAGAAAAATTCATAGTAAAACAGTGAGCGGGACAATGGGTGCAGACAATGCTGTGAGTCCGATACCGTTCCAGTAGTAGTTTAGACCCGCCGCGCGCACCGGTACCGGCACCTGGCGCACCAGAGTGCTTGGCGTGGTCAGTGCCAGCCGGACTGTGATGCCGTAGTAGTTGCCTCCCGCCCGCTCCGCCCGCTCTGCCCGCGGAGCGGAGGTCGCTGACTTTTCAAACTCGCCCGCGGTTCCGCGGCTCTACAGAGGGCAGCACCGGGCGCACCCGAATCCCTTTGCGGGCGCGCTGGAGCTGTGAGTTTGGACGGGAGCAGGGTAGCGGGGCGACCCCACCCCACCGCCTCCCTTATAGGAATTTGGCGGGTGCGCCCTTCTCCTGTTACTGCACGTGTGCCGCCCTCTATGCCACCATCTGCTTGAAATAGCCCGGAATGACGGCCGTATTGGCTGACGATGACGTCTGTAACGTGGCCACTGGGCACTGCGGAATTAATAAACCGGGTAATGGGCTGTCGTCATGTTCTTCTCCAGCTTCCGCCTCTACACGCAGCAAAATGTGTGTGTGTGCGTACTCACTTTAATTTTGTTGTTGTAGTATCTCGCCCGTAACGCCACTTCTACTTCTGATGAACCTTTGATGGGGCGGCCGGTGTGTAACGACCTTGTTTGCGATCACGGGTTTATGATGGCGTCCCTGCGCCCCGCCGCCCATCAGCGCAGCAGCTCGCTCGGCGCCGCCCGCCAGCACGCATCCATCTCCAGTATTCCCTGCTGACCCGCTATAGCAGATCTGTGCGGACGGACGCCCAGCGGACGCCCGGCGGACGCCCACCGGCGCGGCGCGGCGTGCTGCGGCGAGCAACTCGAGTTGTTTGTCTTGGATATGTGAGTGCGCGCCAGTGCGCGCAGAGTGCCATAAATTTCCTGGGCGTATCGACCACACATCTCTCTTTCTCCGCGTCTATGTCGCGCCAGCCTCCTGCCTCTTTCTCTCTCTCCCTTCCCTCCTCTTGCCCTATTCCCCGTGCCATCTCTCTCACTCTTTCTCTACAGACCCTCTCGGGGAGGGACCGCAGCAACGCGAAGCAACATCGCTGCCAATCGTAACAGCGGGACCGCAAGCAACATAGCGGGAGCGCAACACACACATACACACACTCTCACCAACTCAGTCTCTCTTCTCTCCCTTCCTCTCTCCCTCCCTCCGCCGCCCCTATCCCACGCACTGACTATGAAGACCATCTTCACACCGTTTTCGACGCAATATCCGCAACATTGCATAGAAAAGGTTGCGACGCGTGTTGCTGTGAGCGCGGACCGCAGCAAAGCGGAACGGTATCACCACTTTGTCGTGCAACGGAAATTATGTTAGTATCACCAGCTCTAGCCATTTCTTTGAAAGAGAGCATAGGGGCTCTTCTTAATAAAATCGTGAAAAGAAAAAGAAACGCATGGCAAGCAACAATACAACCTACTCCATACATACCATTTGAGTGGGATTTTCTTTCACAACAACGGTATTGCAACGTTGATTTGCAGTTTTTCCAACAGTTGTCCGCTCCCGTGTATGTGTACATGTCCTTATTAAGTTTGCATCCAAATTACAGAGTTTGCAACTTTACTCAGCAGAAAGCGTTATTCGCGGTAAGCAGGTGGTAGATGTCACTTGTGAGTGTGCTCGCAAAACCAAAACAGGGAGGCAGAAAAAAGAGTGGAGCTGGAAACAGTGACTGAATAATGACAATTATTGAAAGGAAACAATAGAGGAAAATCCGCGCTGTTTTCAAACTTTTGCAAAAAGCCCAACCCCTCAGTCGGCCCCATGCCTTTAAATGCGAACAACAACCCCACGCGCGCACCCTCCGCAGCGCCCCACCCCGGCCGGTGCGCGCCCCAGCCGCCTCTTCATGAACCTCAGTGCCGCGCCGCGTCTGCCGTCAAGTTCCCCTCCCCGCGCCCAATGACAACAATATTTTAGTAAAAATTTTCACGCACGTCGGGCCCAATAACCCATTTTTATCGCAGAGCTGCGGCGGCGGGGCGTGGCTCGCGGGAGAAGAGGGTAAAAGGGGGAGAAGGGAGGAGGGGGGGAGGCGCCGAGCGCGCGACCGCAAGAGACGCACCCGCCGTGAAAAATTGCACACTCTGGCAATACTGTAAAGGGGGATCAAAAGCAATCAAAGTGATAAGAAGCACAATAAATCGCCGCCGGCTCACCACGCCCCGCCCCCGCGCCGCCCCCGCGCTGCCCCCGCGCTGGGGGCAGTGTCCCTGCAGGGCTGTTACGGCTGCTACTCTCGCGGGTGCCCCGGCGGCGGCGCCGCGCTTGGCGGTTACTGCGGGGTCACTGACGGCGGCGGCGCTCCGACAACACCCCGCCGCACCGTGAAACAAAAGGC